AATTCGGCTGTGAACCCATCTGGACCTGGGCTTTTTTTGGGTGGTAGGCTCTTAATTGCTGCCTCAACTTCAGACCTTGTTATTGGTCTATTCAGGGTTTCGACTTCTTCCTGGTTTAGACTTGGGAGGATGCAAGTGTCCAAGAATTTATCCGTTTCTTCCAGGTTTACTAGTTTATGTGCACAGGGTTGTTTGTGATAATCTCTGATGATGGTTTGAATTTCTGTGGAATCTGTGGTGATATCCCCTTTATCGTTTTTTATTGCATCTATTTGATTATTCTCTCTTTTTTATTACTCTGGCTAGTGGTCTATTTTGTTGATCTTTTTGAAAAACCACCTCCTGGATTTATTGATTTTTTGAAGGGTTTTTTGTGTCTCTATCTCCTTCAGTTCTGCTCTGATCTTAGTTATTTCTTGTCTTCTGCTAGGTTTTGAGTTTTTTTGATCTTGCTCCTCTAGCTCTTTCAATTTTGATGATAGGGTGTCAATTTTCAATCTCTCCTTGCTTCTCATATGGGCATTTATTGCTATATATTTTCCTCTAGAGACGCTTTAAATGTGTCCCAGAAATTTTGGTATGTTGTGTCTTCATTCTCATTGGTTTCAAATAACATCTTTATTTCTGACTTCATTTCATTGTTTATCCATTCAACATTCAAGAGCCAGTTGTTCAGTTTCCATGAAGCTGTGCGGTTCTGAGTTAGTTTCTGAATTCTGAGTTCTAACTCGATTGCACTGTGGTCTGAGAGACTGTTTCTTATGATTTCCTTCTTTTACATTTTCTGAGGAGTGATTTACTTCCAATTATGTGGTCAGTTTTAGAGTAGGTGCGATGTGGTGCTGAGAAGAATGTATATTCTGTGGATTTGGGGTGGAGAGTTCTGTAAATGTCTATTAGGTTTTCTTGGTCCAGGTCTGAGTTCAAGTCCTGGATATCGTTGTTAATTTTCTGTCTCATTGATCTGTCTAATATTGACAATGGGGTGTTAAAGTCTCCCACTATTATTGTGTGGGAGTGTAAGTCTCTTTGTAAGCCATTAAGAACTTGCCTTATGTATCTGGGTGCTCCTGTATTGGGTGTGTATATATTTAGGATCGTTAGCTCTTCTTGTTGCATTGATCCTTTTACCATTATGTAATGTCCTTCTTTGTCTCTTTTGATCTTTGTTGGTTTAAAGTCTATTTTATCAGAGATGAGAATTGCAACTCCTGCTTTTTTTGCTCCCCATTTGCTTGGTAAATCTTCCTCCATCCCTTTATTTTGAGCCTTTGTGTATCCTTGCATGTGAGATGGGTTTCCTGGATACAGCACACTGATGGGTTTTGGCTTTTTATCCAATTTGTCAGTCTGTGTCTTTTGATTTGGGTATTTAGCCCATTAACATTTAGGGTTAATATTGTTATGTGTGAATTTGATACTGCCATTTTGATGCTAGCTGGCTGTTTTGCCCATTAGTTGATGCAGATTCTTCATTGTGTTGATGCTCTTTATCATTTGGTATGTTTTTGGAGTGGCTGGTACTAGTTGTTCCTTTCTATGTTTAGTGCCTCCTTCAGGAGCTCTTGTAAAGCAGGCCTGGTGGTGATGAAATCTCTGAGTACTTGCTTGTTCGCAAAGGATTTTATTTTTCCTTCACTTATGAAGCTTAGTTTGGCTGGATATGAAATTCTGGGTTGAAAGTTCTTTTCTTTAAGGATGTTGAATATTGGCCCCCACTCTCTTCTGGCTTGTAGGGTTTCTGCTGAGAGATCTGCAGTGAGTCTGATGGGCTTTCCTTTGTGGGTAACCTGAACTTTCTCTCTGGCTGCCCTTAGCATTTTCTACTTCATTTCAACCCTGGTGAATCTGATGATTATGTGCCTTGGGGTTGCTCTTCTTGAGGAATATCTCTGTGAGGTTCTCTGTATTTCCTGGAACTGAATATTGGCCTGCCTTGCTAGGTTGGGGAAGTTTTCCTGGATGATATCCTGAAGAGTATTTTCCAGCTTGGATTCATTCTCTCCATCACATTCACGTACACCTATCAAACGTAGATTGGGTCTTTTCACGTAGTCCCATGTTTCTTGGAGACTTTGTTCATTCCTTTCTACCCTTTTTTCTCTAATCTTGCCTTCTCGTTTTATTTCATTGAGTTGATCTTCAACCTCTGATAGCCTTTCTTCTGCTTGGTCAATTCGGCTGTTGAAACTTGTGCATGCTTCATGAAGTTTTCGTGTTGTGTTTTTCAGCTCCATCAATTCACTTATATTCCTCTCTAAATTGTCTGTTCTCGTTAGCATTTCATCAAATCTTTTTTCAAGGTTCTTAGTTTCTTTGCATTGGGTTAGAACATGTTCTTTTAGCTCGCAGAAGTTTCTTATTACCCACCTTCTGAAGCCTGATTCTGTCAATTCATCACACTTATTCTCCATCCAGCCTTGTTCCCTTGCTGGTGAGGAGTTGTGATCCCTTGTAGGAGGAGAGGTGTTCTGGTTTCAGGTGCTTTCATCCTTTTTGCACTGGTTTCTTCCCATCTTTGTGGATTTATCCAACTGTCATCTTTGTAGTTGTTGGCTTTCAGACTGGGTCTCTGAGTGGATGTCCAGTTTGTTGATGATGAAGTTATTTCCTTCTGTTTCTTAGTTTTCCTTCTAACAGTCTGGCCCCTCTGCTGTAGGACTGCTGAGGTCTACTCCAGGCCCTGCTTGCCTGGGGATCACTTGCAGCAGCTGCAGAACAGTAAGGGTTTCTACCAGTTTCTTCTTCTGCTATCTTTGTCCCAGAAGGATACCCACCAATTGTCAGTCTGAGCTCTCCTTTATGAGGTGACGCTTTGGATATATGGGCATCAGGGAGCTGCTTGAGGAGACAGTCTGTGTCTCAGTGAGTTCAAGTGCTGAACTGTGAGCTCCGTTGTTCATTTAGAGCTGCTGGGCAGGTACATTTAAGTCTGCTGCAGCAGAACTCATAAACCCCTTTTTTTTTTCCCAGGTGCTCTGTCCCGGGGAGTTAGGGCTTTATTTATGAGCTTCTGTTGTGCTGCTGCCTTTTTATCAGGGCTCGCCTGCCCAACGTTTAGGCAGCCTAGTCACTGTCTGCCTGGAGAGGCTTTGCTGAGCTGCTGTGTCAACTTCCCTGCAGTCCTGTTTATACGTGTATAGTTACAACTGCCCCGGCAAAGCCAGCCCACCTCTGTAATAGCGGACTCTCTCTGTAATGGCGGGTTGCCTCAGCAATGGCGGACTACCTCCCTAGTGGTGGAGTGCCTCGGTAATGGCAGACACCCCTCCCCCACAGAGCTGGACCTTCCCCGGTTCGGCTGTGCATGCTGTGAAACTCTCAACCCAGAGTGTTTCCAGTTGCTGGTTTTTTGTGGGGGTGGGACCAGCCAAGCCTGATCACCTGGCTCCCTGCCTCAGAGCCTTTTTTTAAGTTGAACGGTCGACTCTCTCCCAGGTGTTCCAGTCGCCTGTTGAAAGGCACTGGGATCTGTGTGATTTCCCATGTGGTGACCCACTGCACTGGCTGAAACAGCAGCACTGAGATTCACGGTGCCTTTTTGCCCGGGAATCTCCTGGCCTGGCTCCCTGTTTCAGTCCCCTTTTTAGTCAGATGAATGGGTGACTCTGCCTTCCCGGAACTCCAATTGCCAGCTAAAACAGTGCCCAGACAGTGTATTTTTCATGGAGAACTGCCGCCCCGGGGCGCCCGCAAAGCAGCCTTGCCAGCCAGACCAGCCACACTGGCAATCCATGGGGCTCCTGCGCCTGGGAATCTCCTGGTCTGTGGGCAATAAAAATCCATCTGGAAATGTGGAATCCACTCACCCTCTGCACTTTCACTGGGAGCTGCAATCCTGAGCTGCTCCTAATCGGCCATCTTGGATTGAACCCAAATTTGTTTTCTTAATCTTAATTACTTGTTATAGTATAAATACAATTTTATTTGTTTTTTTTTTCTTTATTTGTTTGTTTGAGACAGAGTCTCATTTTGTCACCCAAGCTGGAGTGCAGTGGGGCAATCTCAGCTTACTGCAACCTCCACCTCCCGGGTTCAAGTGATTCTCCTGCCTCAGCCTCCCGAGTAGCTGGGATTATAGGCACGCGCCATCACGCCCGGCTAATTTTTATGTTTTTCAGTGGAGACAGGCTTTTGCCATGTTGGGCTGGCTGGTCTTGAACTTGTGACCTCAGGTGATCCGCCCATCTCAGTCTCCCAAAGTGCTGGGATTACAGGCTTAAACCACCATGCTCAGCCTAAAATACTTTTTAATACAAGATTTTGCAGAATAAGTAGAATTGAAATCTAAGCACAATGTTCATTTTTACATTATTCCCTTTTCTTCTTGTGTGCAGGAAAGGGTGAGGGTAGGCAGGAAAGGGTGAGGGTGGGCAGGGAGGCCTGTTGGGTGACCATTGTCCTCTAGGAGAGAGCTGTCTACCCAGGTGAGATGAAGGCATTAGCAGGGAAGGCAGTGAGAAGCAGTCAGACTTTGCATTATCCCGCTTCCTAACGGATTGGATGTAGGGTACAAGGGAAAGGAAGAGTCTAGAATGACTCCAGAGTGATACATTATAATATGTTGCTTTAAACATGCCAACAAAGTGTTCCTCCCTGCTACATTCTTACTAATTCCAGGGCTTTGGAGTCACTTTTAAAGAGGGCAGCTTTGGAAAGTAAAGAAGAAGTAACACAAGGCTGGCAGGATGGTTCCTGGACTCTAGTTGGTTGCATGTTCACCCTGAGACTTTAAGGAAAGAAACACAAAAGCCACAGGACCAAGCTGGCTGTGGTGACTCATACCTGTAATCCCGGCACTTTGGGAGGCCAAGGCAGGCAGATCGCTTGAGGTCAGGAGTTTAAGACCAGCCTGGCCAACATGGTGAAAGCCCATCTCTACTAAAAATACAAAAACTTACCCAGGTGGGGTAGTGCACACCTGTAATCCCAGCTACTCGAGAGGCGGAGGTGGGAAGATCACTTGAAACCGGAAGGCAGAGGTTACAGTGAGCAGAGATGGCGCCATTGCACTCCAGCCTGGGCGATGAGCGAGACTTCATCTCAAAAAAAACAAAACCATGGTACTAAACTGAAGTGAATGTGATCTTGACAAGAGGTCAGATCATTCTCTTTGGTCAGAAATATCTCTGGGTAAAGTGAACATAAAATAAAGGCCACAACCAGCATTAAGGTGTGTCAGAAACCCATTCATTTGACTTTGAACAGGCTGCTTTAAAAAAAATTTTTTTTTTCCAACCAGCCAAACAGAGAGGAAGTTCAACTATGAACCAGATTACAAAATCATCTGAAGCTGTAACAGTGAAAACTACTTCAGGGAAGAAAAAGAATAACAAAGGTATTTTTGTTGTTTCAACTATTCCTTCCACTTCCCTCATCTTCTAAGTCACTTCCCCCTTTCAGGAGCTGTGTGTTCCACTACTAAGTAGTTGCACCAAACAGAGAAAAATGCAAGTGGAGAAAAAAGAACACTCAGTGCCTTGTGACTTTCATGTAAACCAAACACCAAACGGCTTTGCCATAGCCATTAGAGGAATTCATCCTTGACGTGTTTAACATTCCCCCCCAAAAAAATAGTAATGGGGCCTCAGCTGGTTTGGGAGTAATCTCTGCAATGAACAGCCTGTGGGATCTGATCAGTTCAGCTCACAGACTTCCATCCTATGACTGTTACTTAGAATCAGCAACTGTGTAATCCAGAAGGAATTTTAAGAAATCAACAACTCTATAACCTCTGAACTGGATTAGACTAAATAAGAAGCTAAGTATTAAAGATGGCAGCTAAGTGTTAGGGACCCGGATTCTATTCCTGACACTTCCACTCATGCCTGGCTCTCAGAATCCTCTTCTGGAAAATGAGAACTTTTCACTCACAGGATCCTAAATTCCACCCCAGCTTTACCATTTTGAAATTCTAAAGAGACGATGTAAGATTTTCACCGCGTGGTCGTGAACACAGTCTTTGGGAAACTGCTTGTGGAGGCTAATATAAATTTGTGTTGTTCTATTTTAGTCCGTTTCATGTTTTTCTCTACTATGAGTTTGGGGGAGGGCAACTGGCCCTTGTAATGAAGCTTGTCACCCTTTGGCTTTCTCTTCTTCAATATTAATCTTTTTTTCTGTGGTCTTTTTCTGTCCTGGAAATTATCCTTATAACTCCTCTGTGAAATCTCATTGAATTAGCAAATTACAAATTCTTATGATCTAGAATGTCAAGTGAACCTATAAAGTAAGAAAATTGATCAGACTGTCTCTGTTATCTGATATTAATATAGCCTTTCCACTGGGTAGAGCTAGATTTTTGGAAAGTCTACTAAAAGGGAAAAAAAGAACCAGGCGAGGTTATCATTTGTTTTTGACAGTGTCTTAGTCAGCTTGGGCTGCTAGAATAGAATACAACAAAGTGAGTGGCTTAAATAGCAAACATTTATTCCCCACCGTTCCGGAGGCTGAGAAGTCCAAGATCAAGGCACTGGAAGATTCAGTGTCTGGAGAGGGCTGCTTCATAGACGGCCCTTCTTTTCCAGTGGGAAGATGACTAGATAGCTTCCTGCGGTCTCTTCTCTAAAAGTACTGTGAACCCAGGAAATATGAGACAGATTTCAGTTAATTTAGAAAGTTTATTTTGCCAAGGTTGAGGACACACCCAAGGCACAGCCTCAGGAAGTCGTGGCGACATGTGCCCACGGAGGTCAGGCACAGCTTGGTTTTAAACGTTTAGGAAGACGCGAGACATCAATTAATATATTCAGTCTGGAAAGGCAGGACAACTTGAAGCAAAGGCTGGAAGACTCAAAGCAGGGGGCGACCTTCCAGGTCACAGATAGGGAATACACAAACTGTTACATTCTTTTGAGTTTCTGCTTAGCCTTTCCAAAGGAGGCAGATCAGATAAGCATTTATTTCAGTGAGCAAAGAAGTGACTTTGGATAGAATGAGAGGCATGTTTGCGCTAAGCAGTTTCCAGTTTGAGTTTCCCTTAGTGATTTTAGGGGCCCAAGATATTTTTCTTTCAGAATACAAATCACATTCATGGGGGTTCCACACTTATGGCCTAATTATCGCCCAAAGGCCTATGCCTCCTGATTCCATCACATCGGGGTTTAGGGTTTCAGCATATGAATTTTAGGGTGACACAAACATCCAGCCCATAACATAGTTACCATTTGGGAATATTTTCGGCCAAAAATTCTTCCACGGAAGTGAGTTGGGATTCCTGTGAAGATAAGAATAATCAGCATCTCAGGACAGGAGGCCCTGCACTGGGCTAGATGACCTTAGAGGGGAGAGGAACGCTGGGTCGCCAATCCTAACTTATCTCAGCATCTTTTACCATAAAGTGGTAAAAGAACAAGGGAGCGTCTAACTGCATCTCGCGGTGCGCTAACTCAGCATTGCAGAAAAATCACTGGGTCAAGATCTGTTTGGGAGTTTCAGACCCTCTGAAGACTGAGGACAGGCCCTGACCACTCTTATTTCTTGAGCCTCCCTAATTTTAAAAACAAAAATTAACTAATGGCAAAGAAGGTTAAAGTAGACTGCATACTATTTGAAGACTTCACATTTAATGAGATAACTCTCCTAACACACATACAAATCCCAGCAAATGCCTGCATAACATCATTAGGCAACTGTACCAGAAGCTGACTATGAGGCCCTTTGTAAATGTGACTCTTCCTGTGGGCCACACCCCCCGTGTAGCCCTGGCAGGTGTTACCACCTCCTTCATCCCTATGTAGCCCTTGCTGGTGTTAAACCCCCTTAGAAGGTGGATAGTTTGACAGAAAAGTTAAAAAAAAAAAAAGAGCAATACAACTACTCATCCTTCAGCTTTTAAATAACAGCATTGTTGAGACCCAAGTTATAATCCCTTTCAGCGACTAAAACTTGGTACAAAGCTTCCAGGCTTGCTTCTTTTGATCTTCGTGAGCCATATGAATTCTCCCACCAACCCCCGGGGGAGTCAAGTGTCTTACAGTTTTCCAGGAAAGAGGTTAGGGGCCTTGGAGAACTGCAGGTCACCTGTGGTCATTCTTTCAGTACACATTGTTGGAATAAAATTTCCTCGGAGCCCATTCTAGGTTAGTGTGTGAAGGATGTAGTGAGGAATATCCCTGGTTCCTGCCCCAAGGACGTACCTTCTGGTCACTCCAGCTGCCTCAACAGAATGGTTCTCAAGTGGGACACAAACACCTTGGAACCGCTCCTTGAAGGCAAGTAGGACTTACTTCTGCTCGGGCTCCCAAAACAAAGTACCACACACTGGGTGCCATACACAACAGAAACCCACTATCTCAACCAAGTGCAGTGGCTCACACCTGTAATCTCAACACTTTGGGAGGCCAAGGCAGGCTGATCAATTGAGGTCAGGAGTTCGAGACCAGCCTGGCCAACATGGTGAAACCCTGTCTCTACTAAAAATACAAAAAATTTGCCGGGCATGGTGGCAGGTGCCTGTAATTCTAGCTACTCAGGAGGCTGAAGCAGGAGAAGCACGAACCTGGGAGGCAGAGGTTGCAGTGAGCCAAGATCATGCCATTGCACTCCAGCCTGGGAGACGGAGCAAAACTTCATCTCAAAAAAAAAAAAAAAATTGCTAACAAAAAAAAGTCCAGGCCCAGACCGATTCACAGCAGAATTCACCATTCAAAGAAGAATTGATATCAATCCTATCGACCCTATTCCACCAGATAGAAAAAGAAAGAACCCTCCCTAAAATATTCTATGAAGTCAGTATCGCCCTAATACCAAAACCAGAAAAGGACATAACCAAAAAAGGAAACTACAGACCAACATCCCTGATGAACATAGATGCTAAAATCCTTAGCAAAATACTAGCTAACTGAATCCAGCAACATAGCAAAAAGATAATCCACCATGATCAAGTGAATTTCATACCAGGGATGCAGGGATAGGTTAATATATGCAATAAATGTGAAACATCACATAAACAGAATTAAAAACAAAAATCACATGATCATCGCAATAGATGCAGAAAAAGCATTCAACAAAATCCAGCGTCCCTTTATGATTAAAACTCTCGGGCAGGGTGCAGTGGCTCACACCTATAATCCTAGCACTTTGGGAGGCCCAGGCGGGTGGATCACAAGGTCAAGAGATCAAGACCATCGTGGTCAACAAGGTGAAACCCTATCTCTACTAAAAATACAAAAATTAGCTGGGCATGGTGGCACACGCCTGTAGTCCCAGTTACTTGGGAGGCTGAGGTAGGAGAATTTCCTGAACTCGGGAGGCGGAGGTTGCGGTAAGCCGAGATCGCGCCACTGCACTCCAGCCTGGGTAATGAGCAAAACTCCATCTCAAAAATAAAAAACTCTCAGCAAAGTCCACATACAAGGGACATATCTTAATGTAATAAAAGCCATCTATGGCAAACCCACAGCCAACATAATACCGAATGGGGAAAAGTTGAAAGCATTCTCTCTGAGAACTGGCACAGGAAAAGGATGCTCAGTCTCACCATTCCTCTTCAATATAGTACTGGAAGTCCTAGCCAGAGCAATCAGACGAGAGAAAGAAATAAAGGGCATCTAAATTGGTAAAGAGGAAGTTAAACTGTCACTGTTGCTGATGATATGATTGTTTACCTAGAAAACCCTACAGACTCCTCCAGAAATCTCCTACAATTGATAAAAGAATTCAGCAAAGTTTCCAGATACAAGATTAATGTACACAAATCAGTAGCTCTTCTATACAACAACAGCGACCAAGTCGAGAATCAAATCAAGAACTCAGCCCCCTTTACAATAGCTGCAAAAAATAAAATATTTAGGAATATACCTAGCCAAGGAGGCAAAAGACCTCTACAAGGAAAGCTACAAAACACTGTTAAAGAAAGCACAGATGACACAAACAAGTGGAAACATAGCCCATACTCATGGATGGGTAGAATCAACATTGTGAAAATGACTACTGCCAAAAGCAGTCTACAAATTCAATGCAATTCCCATCAAAATACCACCATCATTCTTCACAGATTAGAAAAAACAATTATAAAATTCATATGGAACCAAAAAAGAGTCTGCATAGCCAAAGCAAGACTAAGGAAAAAGAACAAATCTGGAGGCATCACATTACCTGATTTCTTTTCTGTTTTCTTTCTTTTTTTTTTTTTTTGAGATGGAGTCTGGCTCTGTCACCCAGGCTGGAGTACAGTAGCGTGATCTCGGCTCACTGCAACCTCCACCTCCTGGGTTCAAGCAATTCTCCTGCCTCGGCTTCCCAAGTAGCTGGGACTACAGGTGTCCACCACCATGCCTGGCTAATTTTTGTATTTTAGTGGAGACGGTGTTTCTCTATGTTGGCCAGGCTAGTCTC